TCATGCAGTATCTGAGACGTGCGTTCACGTAGGGAACCACCGACCAGGAGTTGGGTGGGGCTGCCCAGACAGCTTCCTGAGAAATGTGGAGTCCTCAAGGACAAACGGGCAGGGGGCATCCAGGGCGGCCACTGCGGGCACAAAGAACATCATGTCAGAAGACATAAGGATGTGGAGGGAGAACAGCGAGTTCTCAGGCCCGGCCAGGGGGCAGGGCCGGGCTGCTGCGGGGCCAGGTGTTGCCGGGGGCAGCTTGAGGAGGACCTCACACCAGACACGGGCCCGCCGTCCTCCTGGAGAGCCCAACAAGCCACAGAGAGTGCCCGCAGGTAGACCTGCTTTCCAGAGAGGCCACTCTGCACGGGGTGGACAGCACCTCGGGGGAGCCAGACCAAAGGAGGATGTAGGGCGCTGCTCCAGCAATGCAGCAGGTGGTGGTAGGCAGTAGGAGAAGGGCAGCGTTCTTCAGGAAAGTAATTCGGAAGTGCGACCTCCATATCTGGGTGTGTAACTGGCTGAGTGGGTGGTGAGCCAGGGCCTGAGGAGCAGCAGCCGATGCGAGAGGACTGGCCGCCGGGCAGCCTGCCCCACTGCCGCAGACACGGGAACATCCAGGCCCGTGGCCTTCCTTGTGATACATGCTACATGTAATGAACACAGCACACCAGTAATGCTAAAGTCAAAAGAAATGCTTAAAAAAAGAACATGATATGACATGCTCTGTTTGAATCCCTAAATCTTCCCTCCATTCGTATGATTTACAGCCAAGGGCCTGGTTCCTCTGGAAAGTTTGTCCAGACGACATCAGACATTCCCCAAACTGCCCACACACGCCCCCGAGCACGCATCTCCTCAACACAGCACAATTGTGCATATTCTGGACCCGGAAAGACCAAGTGTATAAATACCAGTGAGGCTCGATGTGACTTCCCAGGAGCACTGGCTAAAACGTCTTCCAGACTTCAGTGGCCTCTGAACTCCATGTGCAGCAGTGAGGAGATCTTCATTCATTCACTCAGCAGATGTTCACCGAGGCCCGGCGGTGTGGCAGCCCCTGTTCCAGCTGCAAAACAGGCCCGTGGGAGGCGGAGACAGACAGACAAACAGACCGGCGCCCTTAAGGTGGAGTGGATTGCATGCAATCCCAGCCAGTTATGTGTGGCTGGAGCATAGCAGTACTGCAGCAAGGCAGAGGGTAGCGGAGACGAGAATGCAAAGGCTGGGGAAGGCCTGTTTATCTCAGATCGATGGTCTGACTTCCTTCACAGAGATCAGTGACAGAAGAAGGCAGGTTCCTTTCTCTTTCCCATAAAAGTCCAGTTCCAGGCCTGGGGAGCAGGGCCTGTAAGTCACTCCGGGACCAGGTTTCTTTCTGCTTGCTCTAGGGCCGTGGTCGGCAAACCGCAGCTCGCGAGCCGCATGCGGCTCTTTGGCCCCTTGAGTGTGGCTCTTCCACAAAATACCACGGCCTGGGTGAGTCTATTTTGAAGAAGTGGCATTAGAAGAAGTTTAAGTTTAAAAAATTCGACTCTCAGAAGAAATTTCAATCGTTGTCCTGTTGATACTTGGCTCTGCTGACTAATGAGTTTGCCGACCGCTGTTCTAGGGAGGTGTTGTTCGTCTGTGTGACCAAAACTGACCTCTCACCACCACACCCACATCACACCAGGTGGCAAAGGGGGAAAGAACAACGGAAGTGGCCTTTGAAGGGTGTGACTCAGAAGTTGCACGTAGAACTTCCATTCACATCCTCTTGGGTCGAACTTAGACACAGGCCACACCTACCTGCTCCAGAGGCAGAGAGGGGCACACTGCTGAGGTGAATCCACCCTTGCTAACCTCGGGGCTTGTGTTGTTAATGGGAGAAGGGGAGACTGGCTCTGTGGGGTCAGATAGTCTGCTAGAAGCCCAATTCTCAAAAGCCATTGCATGCCACCTTCACTGAGGTGTTGACTTTTATCTTGGAGTAATAGGGAGCCATTAAGAACTTTATGCTGGGAGGCGCCATGGTTAAGATCAGAGTTTTCACAAACCCTTCTGGCTGAGGGTGGAGAATGGACTTGAGTGCCATAAAGCAGATTGAGGCCAGCTCCACGAGATAGGGCCGGTGGGTGGAGGCTCCAGTTTGTCAGACTTCAAGCACAATAAAACTGTGTTTAACAGGACAACAAAAAAACAACAACAGTGCCACAATGACATGCAACAAAAGGACCCAGGTGGATAGTATTCACACCAACATGAGAGGTTCACTTGGATAAAATGGAGCTGAAGCTACTCAAGCAGTCTGATGTGTATTTTATTCATGATTCAAGAAATTTGGAAGCCTACTCTGCCAGGGACAATTCTAGATGCTAACAGTGCGGCAGGGAGCAAAAGGGAGTGTACTCTGCTCTCCCGGAGCTCACGGCCACTGGGGAGAGACATTTCGTCAACCACGAAGCAAACAGGATGATTTCAGATGCGAGAAGTTCCAGACAGAAGAACCAGAAAATACAAAGTCTCTGGGACAGAAACGGGTTTGGTTGGGACGGGCCAGAAAGCCAGGTGGCCTTTGGGAGGCGAGATCGGCGGGTGGCGAGGGTCTCCTCCTGAGGGATCTGGGGCTTTGTTCTAAGAGCGATGGGAAGCCACTGGGTAGTTCGAGCATTATAATGACACAAGCTGACGATGTTTAAAAATCACCAGCCTAGCTTCTACATAAAGACCACAGGGGATCGTGATCTTGAATCGCATGTGTGCCTGCCACCGGTGGGGATAGGCTGAGTGTGAATGAAGCTGTGTCCTCTCCGGGTGGAGGCCCCAGGACTCACAGGGGGTCTTAGCCTCCTGAGAACCCTCCTCACTCAGAGCCGCCCCAGTCCCTGCTACTCAAGTGTGGCCCCAGCATCAGTGTCGCCACAGACTTGTCAGAAATGCAAATCTCAGATCCCAAAACCCACACCTATTCAGTCAGTCTTCACTTCAGACAAGATCGGGCGTGTTCAGGGTGGTATGGCCGTAGACCCATCAGTCTTCACTTCAACAAGATCCGACGTAATTCATGTACATTAATATTTGAGAAGCTCTAGTGGTATGTCCCCTGTTTAGGGTGTATATCTCTCTCCCTCTCTCTAACTATATGTATACATACCCACACACACACACACACACAGACACAGACACACACACGCGCCATATACAACACCCTCACAAGCACATACAAACCAGACACACATACCACATATACACACTCCACATACACATCACCTATTTCCCTACACACAACATAAACCCCCACATATACACATATACCCTCCTACATATACAACATAAACCACATACTCTCTTTCCCCCACACACACACCACACTGAATTGCCATACTAGACCCAAGCTCGCCGTCAAATGACCTGTGGACAGGAGGTCTGGACTAGCTACGATTTAGGGATTCCTGGAGGATGGGGCAGGTCTGATATGAGCTAGATTTGAGGCGTTTGATATTCATAAACAGGAAGCCACAGAGATTTGTTCGGTGGGAGCTGGCTTTGTGCACATTGGTGTTTTGGGCGATGAACCTGACAGTGATGAGGGGGATGCTGCAGACAGAGGAACAGGAGGGCCCAGGGGGCAGCCTGCAGGCTCGCACCGCAATGGGAAAGGGACCGTCTTTGGCTAATGCCTTACGCATGGCTGCTGAGTGCTTACAAAACACATTGCACTTCACGTTATCTATAGTTGGTGTTGATTATCTTAGCAACTAAGCTGAAAAAAGCAAACACATACAACACCTGCCCAGGCTCATATTGTTTGGGCCAGCACTAGGCCGGGGGACTCTGTGAGAAACATAAAAAGGAGGGACTGTTCCATGTCCAGGAGGTTCTCCTGCTCATTCTATAAAATAACACGTGAGTATCTCCCGCCTGCAGACTTCCAGGTGAATCTCTTCCTGCCTCCTCTTCAGCCTCATTGGTACAGAGCACGGGCTGTGCGTGGAAAGGGAATCGGGAAGTACGGATCTAAGGTCGGACAATAAGGGTCATGATGGGCAAAAGCCGTCAAGTCCAGGCAGCTGAGCGATTGAGGTGCTTTAGGAGGAAATGCAAGATTTTGGGGTGATGCCAGTTTTAGAGGAAAGGTCTGAAGTCCTTTTAGGTGTTCCAACTGTCACCATGGTAAGAAACGACAGAAATTTCAAGAAAGGCCTGAGCTGGAGTAGGAATGGTTTTGATTTTACAAACTAGAACTGAGCTCTCCCACGCGTCCTATGACTGAGTGACCTCTCCATGTGCCCTCCTGTTTGGGTCTCCCAGTGCTTCCTGGGACCAGATTGGGCCGGGAGGCGGGTACTAGAGGTGAGGTGCCCTCTGTTCCTGGCCTGCATTTAGCCATAGTGAATTTAGACAGGATGTGCTGGCAGCTCACATCTGCAGAGCTTGCCTGCGCGCTCGCCCTGAGGGCTCCGGTGCCTGGCACCAAAGCTGGCTCAGGTGCAGGTGCCCTGGGACGGCAGGAGTGCCCTGACCCAGGGCAGCAGGCAGAGTGTGCTCCGTGCTCTCGAAGAACGTTGTAGCTTTCCCAGGCTTCTCAGTCTGAGGATCTGTAATCTGCATGCAGGAGCATATTCCATCTCATGTGATGCACACAGTGAGTTAGGGGAAATAGATTTTCACACAGAAATCCCATAAATTCAAATTCAGGGGACCCGATGCATCCAAAGGTGGCTTACATCACCTTACACTGAAGGAGGTTTCGCCATCTTCAAAACCATTGCTTCTCTTTTCTTCCAAGAAAATGTGTTCATAAGTAGCACAACATGTGAGTCTGTCATTTGATGGGAAGAATAGCCGGTAATGAACGCGCACTAGAACCCCTAACAGGAAGTCTTGGGGGTGAGATGAAGCCGGAAAGGCCTGTCAGGAACTGTCCCAGGCTCACATGCTGCCTCCCCCACAGGCGGGGAGCTCCTTCGTCCGGGGCAAAGGGGAGCTTCAGTCTAACCTGCCCTCCTGGACTTCCATTGCAGATCATCAGGAAAGCCCTCTCTGAGGAAAAGCAGGTCTCTACCAAAACCTCCGCCGCGGACCTGGTGACAGAGACGGACCACCTTGTGGAAGACTTAATCATTTCTGAGATGCAGAAGCGGTTTCCTTCGCACAGGTAGGCGTGTCCCGAGGGGCACCGAGGCGCTCGTGGCCGCGGTCATGGCAAGGCCTGGGTGCAACCCGGGAGGCTGCGTCTGGTCGACGGGGCAGAGTTCAGCAGGAAGCCCCAGTGTTTTGATCCCATGGTGAACACACTGGCCCTTTTTCCTTCCTTTTGCTCCATCTTGAGAACCCTCAGGTCACTGTATTACCTTATACTAGTAAATGCGGGCAAGGCTTCCCTTTGCCAGCGCATGCCCCGGGGAAGGGCTCGGCTCCCCTCCACCAAGCCCCGTAGCGTGTTTCCGGGGGATTTGGAGCAGTGATGCTCCCTGGCAGCCCTGGCTGCTCGGCCACGGGCTTTTCTAAGGGTGTGACCCTGAGTGACGCTGCCAGCTGTTGGGCCCGGCCCCGCCCGCTGTGGTGCCCCTGCTGGCAGGCAGTCCGGCCTCCAAGCCAGGCCTCCTCCATAGGCCACCTCCCCAGACCACCGCTCTAGGCCACCGCAAGTCCCAGAAAGGCTGCTCTCCTGCCCCAGGTCTTCAGGAGGATCCCACCCTCTTCTATAGAGAAGCTCTTACCCTTTTCAGAGTCACCATCATTCTTAACCATCGGGGGAATCCAGAGCCAATTATAAATCTTTTCCTCCGAAAAATCCAAATGTGTCCACAGCATTTTCCAAGGAAGTTCCAAGGAAGCCACAGACCCCAGAGAAGGCCATCCCCTGAGCTCTGGGTCTGCAGGCCCCTCCCTCCCCCGGGGTTTTGCAGAACAGCTTGAAAACCGCTGCCTGGGGTGGAGGGGGGTGGGATATCTCTCTCCTTTCTGACGGAGAATCGCTAAAACTGGAACGCCAGGGCTTGCGTCAGATCCCACACTGCTCCGTGCTCAGGCACTGAGGCACAGAAGGCCCTCTCCCCAGCGTCCCTCCTGCCGAGGCAGGCACAGTAGGAAAGGACAAGCTGGTGTTCAAACTTCCCTCCCTTTTCCTGCTGTTTCCTTCTAGCTGGCTGGGTTATCTCAGGGTCACCAGTTCCCTTCAAAATTCTCTGCCAGTGGGTTGTGTTTATTTCCTTTTGTTGACAACCATTGTGTGTGAGCGTTAGTTCATATTTCCTTATTCTCTGTGAGGGCAAGATCCCTGACATCTGTTAAAATTTTTACAAGCTCTAAAATGTTTATATTTTTTAACTTGTAAAAATCTAAATTAAATGGCAATGTCAAAAGGATTATACAGTTTGCCTTTATTCTTTGAGAAGAAAAACACCAGCCAGCTGGTTCTGGGTGAGGAGCTATTTTGTTTCATGGGATTGGCAATAGCTGTGAAGGAAATGAGGGCGGGAAATGAGGGGGCTGGACCCTGCGGGGTTCTGGTAAAGACCCGGAGGTCACTGCAGGCTCCCTTTAATGGCATTATCAGGACTCTGGCTTTTCTCGATCAGATTACATCTGACAAACCAGATTCTGACATTGCATGTCCTATTGTGTGTGTTGGCAGCAGTTGCTAGTGGTTTGGATCCACTGTTGTGTCAGCATGGGGTGTGGATCCCATTTTCACAAGGGAAACTTAAATATTGCTGCGTCAGAATCAAGTCAGCGTTTTCTATGGGTGAGTGCAGCTTCTCCCACCTCCGCTCACCAGGGGACCGCCAGGCTCCAAAGCCCCTTGGGAAGCATCTCCCGGAGCAGTGTACCCCATTACCTCCCCGAACAGTGTACCCCCACTACCTCCCAAAAGCAATGTACCTCACCATCTACCGAGCAGTGTACCTCACCTAGAGTGCACATCGGGGCCATCCGGGAGCGTCTCCCGCTGACTAACGCCAAGCCTGTTGTTTCCTTCTAGCTGGTTAGGCAATGGCCCTGATGCCCCCTGGGTGAGGCACATGGGTAGAAGCCTCCACTCGTGACAAAAGGCCTGGGAGGTACAGACGCACACGCCTGAGCAGGAGTCAGTGATTTAGAGCAGTGCTTCCCTAATTCTCCTCGCTCATACCACCGGGCCCGAGGGCAGAGACGTGGCAGAGAGAGACGTGGCGGCCTGTGTGCAGGATCTGTGCCCCCCTCTCCTCTCTGCTCTGAGGCAGTGTGGGGGCATGGCTGGGGGCTGGGTGCCTCTGCTCCTATTCTCTGCTCTGTGTGCCTGGACAGTTCAAATGAGATGAAATCACTTTTCAACACATCTATGGGCAAGTTTGGTTTTTGCCAATGACTAAGCATTTCTGGCACTTAATTATGTCTTAGATCCTAGACAAATTTATGATGGGGAAAATTGCGTTCATGCCGTAACATAAAACAGTGTGTGGTAATTTTTCTGCATTCGCAGTATTTCAATGGATCCCTTAAACATGTTAGCAGAAGGTTGCCCATCATCCTTTTTTAGGAAGGACTTTATTTTCTTTTTAAAAAAATATATTTTATTGATTTTTTACAGAGAGGAAGGGAGAGGGACAGAGAGTTTGAAACATCGATGAGAGAGAAACACTGATCAGCCGCCTCCCGCACTCTCCCCACTGGGGATGTGCCCACAACCAAGGCACATGCCCCCAACCAGAATCGAACCCAGGATCCTTGAGTCCGCAGGCCGACACTCCATCCACTGAGCCAAACCGGTCAGGGCAGGACTTTCTTTCTTTCTGAGCATACGTCCTTCCTCCTTTTAATCTTCATGAAACAATATTAAAGATTGCAACTGTCTTGTGTTAACAACCTGCTGTAGGCTCCCTGGTTTATTATTTAATATTACTCATTCATGAATGTCAGGCATAGACGCAATCAGAGACGAATACGGTTTAAACTCGCTTCTGCCTCCAGCTGTGGCAGCCACCCGGGACTCCTCTCCTCGGAGTGAAGGACCCACCGAGGTCAGCGCTGCAGCTCCTGCACTAACGCTGCCATGTGGGGTAATGACAGAAACCGCCCAGCCCGAGGCTGAGTCCACAGTCCCCGCCAGCCTGCCCTGCTGCGTGCTCATACCTTGCGTTAGAGCCGAGGTGTGCAGCTTGGAAATATTCAGCAGCATCACTGAGCCACGTGTGTAAGCACCTATCTCTGTCCCTTTTTCAGGGTTGGCACAGGCAGAGGGAAGAGGACAGCACCTTGGGCTGCTCGGTATGGGCAGCCGCCTGCCCTGCCCTGTTCTGGTCTGGACTCCCAGTGGCGGGCTGCAAGTCTGTCCATCGGGGTGACCTGTGCCCTGCAGTGTGCCCAGCACGGTCCTGATCTTGGGAAAAAGAGGTTCCCAGCCACCGTGCTCCCACTGTGTTTGGCCCTGGGTGCACGTGTCCGGGGAACAGAGCCGCCGTGGTGCCGGGGGCGGGAGGGCTGCAGCCTGAGAAGATGAGGCTCAGGGACACGGAGTGGCTCCCCAGTGGCCTGGCCTGTCACAGAGAAAACACTAGCCAGGAAGAAGAGCCCCAGATGTGCCTGCCATCCGTTAGGACCCTGAGAAAGAAAGGAAAGGAGCTGAATCTGCAGCAGAAAGTGTCGTTCCGGTTTGCCACCTAACTTGGAACCTTGCTATCTGCTATTGTACCTTAGACAGACTCCTGAGATGGCCGTGAGCTCCTCACAGTTAGTCCCTGCACTGTTGCCTCCTATTTGTGTCCCTGATTCCACGTAGATGTCCCGTGTCCTTATGAAGTCCCCACATCTTCTTTTCTCACTTCCCGGTGTCCACATTGATGTCCCCACTCCCTCTGGAGCTGACGAATGCCCTCTCCCGTCCGTGGCATGCACTTCCCACACAAGGACAACCAGGTTTAAGGAAACAAAACCTCAACCTCCCTCCCCACACACCTGGGAGGTATTTTTAGTGTCTCAGGGCGGACACGGTCCACACCCCTCTTCGCTTCCAGGAGGCCCTGCCCCAGACCTCGGGCACCGAGCAGGCAGGGCGGTGACCGGGCACCTTTCATCTCCTTCACTCGGGCATCTGGGGGCAGAGGAGGAGAACTCTTGGGCATGAGTAACAACTGCTGAACACGTTCAGGGCTGAGTCAGGGGGTGTGCGTTATTTCTGTCCCGTGCTGTGCAGAGCGCTTCAGGTGTCAGTCCTGCAAGGCCCTTTCTTCCAGCGGTTTCTCCTCCAGCTTGCATAGGTGCCAGCTTTCCACTGAAAATCACATTTCAAGGGAAAAAGATGTCACATTCCTCCTCAGTTCTCTGGAAATGGACCTTTGCATGTGAGTCATTTCCACCCCCAACTTGACCTTAGTAATATCTGCTCACTGCTTTATTGACTTGTGGCCAACTTAAGCTTCGGCACTTGGTCTTCGTGTGTTTTTAGGGTGTGGAACCTTTTTTTTTTTTTTTTTAATGTTTTTTGTTTGTTTCTGTAATTGATTTCAGAGAGAGGAAGGGAGAGGAATAGAGAGATAGAAACATCTGTAGTGAAGGAGAATCATCCATCAGCTGCCTCCTGCACGCCCCTCACCGGGGACCGTGTCCACAACCTGGGCACGTGCCCTGATTGGGAACTGGACCATGACCTCCTGGTTCAGAGGTCGATGCAGAGCCACACTGGCCGGGCACAGATCCTTTCCTTGAAGAGCATAGTCATAAGCCATTCCGGGGGGAATCATGGAGCTGCAGAAGAAGACACTGAAAACAGACAGAATCTCTTAGGCTTCGGCCACAGGAACCGGCAGAGCTAATTCCATGTTCAATCATCAGCTCAGGGGAGTGATTCTCGCTGCGCATCACCTGGGTTTCTGTTGGGGCCACAAGTTCGGGTGTCACTGCCCGGCTGTGCCTGCCCGGCATGGCTCCTCTGACTTCCCCGGGTCTTTCCCCGCCCATCTCTTCCACCTGGACCTGCCTGCCTGGATGGTGTGATCCAGAGGATCCACGGAGAGAGGGAAAGGGAGGGAGGCAGCTCCCAGCAGCAGGAGGGACGCGGAGCAGGCAAAGGGAGGAACCAGTGTCCACTCCCTCTGGTCGCATTCTGGATGGACAGCTGCCGGGGCAGGGGGTGCTCGCCAGCGTTCCCGCAGCTGCCGCTCTTCAGTGCCTGGGTTTCTCGGGTGTCTCAGTGCTCCCAGCCTCAATGCTTTGCCTGCTCCTAGCGCATTTTCTCTAGAAGACCCAGTGGGCGGAGAAGGTGGAAACACCAGCCTGAAAATGACATGTGTGCACTCATCATATACCCTGATGCATTTCCACATAACTTATCTGTCAGACGGAGGGGCGGGAGGACTGTGTGCATATAGAGCACGAGTTTCCTAATCTGTGAAACGGGAACGGTCGCTCAGGGTCGTCAGGGAGCAGAGAATCAGTGCGCGCGGCAGCGCTATGATCACTGCGAAGCGATGTTAGAACACGGGGTGCTTGTTCTTGTCTCACAGCACCACCGGCAGGACGCGCTGCCCACAGGACCTCCGCGAAGACAGACCTGTTCTGTCCGCACTGTCCACTGGGACAGCCTCTAGCCCGTGTGACTCGCGAGCACTTGAAATGTGACCAGTGAGGCTAAGGAACTGACTTTTTAATTTTTAAAATTTTAATTTAAATGTAAACAGTCACAGGTAGCTGGTGGCTATTGGGTTGCACAGAGCTTTCCATTTCTTTCTTTTTATTAACGATATGATGTCAGACTCATCTGCAAGTTCATTGCTGACAGGTCTTCGGACAGACAGATCTGGGAAGAGTGACCTCTAGGAGCTCCTTGCCACTGCGGGGCAGTGTCCCACCAGCTCTCTGGCTTCTCTGCCTCTGACACCAGGGGCGAGGCAGCTGTCCGGCGACCATGGCTGACAGCACACCCAATGCCAGCAGAAGGTCATGAAGCATTCCTTGTTTGTCACTCATGTTTCCTTCTTCGTAAAAGCGTGTTGTCTGCAAGGCTCCCCTTTCTCTAGTACAGACACGGGCACTACACGAGATGCTAATGGAAACCTCTCAGCACATCAAACAAGCGTTTACTTGGTGCCAGGCCCTGGTGACATGGCAGTGAGGGGCAGAGGGCCCCCCCCCCCCCCCCCCGTGAACCCTGCTCTGTGACAGTTAGGAACACGCACCGAGCCCTCCTGTGTGCTGAGCACTATCTTGTCTGCTCTGGGTAGAGTATGCTCTTCACTCCCGAGAACAGCTCCAGGAGGCAGGAGCAAGGGCCAGCTTCACGGGGACACCAGCTCCATGGCCCTCGCCGTGCTGTGCCTAGCCTGAGCCGGTGGTTGGAAGAGGGAGGTTGGGGGAAGAACTGAGGCTGCCTTCCCTCGTTTCCAGCCTGAGCATCTGGGTCCTTGGTGGTGCCTTTTGCAAAATAAACGTGAATAAAGCCGCCCAGGACCTCCCTTGGTGCAGGCTGATGTTGAGCTGTTGGTTGTTTTGTTCAGGTTCCTAATATGATATAGAGGGTCCACCCCAGTGGATAGGTTTCAGGAGGGTGCGAACCACAGAGGACTAATTACAAAGGAGAGGGCCAGGGGCCCCGACAGCTGGTGCAGGGTGGTGCGTGGGCCTGAGGCTGGGGTGCTCCTGTGGGGGCTGCCCGGGAAGGCGGGTGGGGGACGCTCCAAGGACGGATAAGGCAGTAAGCCTATCCTCACTCTTCCGCTTTTCCTTCCCCTCGGGTTCCCAGGGGGCAGGAGTGCCTGTGGGGCAGCCCTCCCCGGGCTCCTGGGCCAGAGGCCAGAATGGAGAGGGCCTCTGTGGAGAAGTGTCAGCTCCCATTGCGCCCAGGCAGTGGAAACCCGGGGGTACCGAAGCAGCTGTCACCTGTCTGCTTTGGGAGAGGCCTGGAGGGGTAGGACCTGGCTGGTGTCAGCTGTAGGTGAGCATTTAACGCCTCAGGTTCAGCCGGGCTGTCTTCCCTGGCTCCGCACCACTAGCGGGAGACCCCAAGGGGGCCCTGCTCTGAGGCCAGCGTTCCTCATGTGCCTCCTTCTCGTTGTGTTCGGCCTTCTCTCCTCCAGACTAAAGTGGAGACAGAGTTGCTTTATAAGATCTGCAGCCCAGGGTTCTTCATTCCTGTGTTTCTTGTCTTGCCGGGCCCACTCATATCCCTGATGCTTTTCCAAAGCTCCTGCATGTAGGTGTCATTTGGGGTTTTCTAAACCCTGCTGAGTCAGAGGACTGGCAGACAGATGGACCCGCAGATGGTCTGTCATGGACTCTGCCTCTGTCTGACCTGGAGAAATCAGAATGCAGTCTCGTTGCTGTGTCTGCTTGTCTTTGATGGGATGGAAACCGTTTGAAGCGCTGTCTTGCATTCTTGGTGCGTTTTCTCAGGCTGAGCTCCTGCCTACCACAGGTTCATTGCTGAAGAGGCCTCGGCAGCAGGGGCCAAGTGCGTGCTCACCCCCAGCCCCACCTGGATCATCGACCCCATTGACGGCACCTGCAACTTTGTGCACAGGTGAGCATAAGCATGGGCCACCCCATTCTCCTGCCTAAACTGCCCTCTTCTCTAAGACTCTTTCCCAAAGCAGCAGTTTTGGGGGCAGGAGTATATGAGCAAACCTCTAGTAGGCTTACGGTCTTATTTAAAAGGTGATCAAGTCTTGATTGTTTTTGCTTTGTTTTGTTAATCCTCACTTGAAGATATTTTTCAATTTATTTATTTTTTAGAGAGTGGGAGGAAGGGATGGAGCAGGGGAGAGAAAGAGAGAGAGATCTGAGAGAGGCAAATCAAGTGGTTGCCTCCCAAATGCACCCTAATCAGGGTCAGGGATCGAACCTGCAACCCAGCTACATTCCCTTGACCAGGAATTGAATCCATAACCCTTCAGTGCTATGTTTGCAATATTGGGTTAAATAAAAAGGCCCCTGGAGAAGCAAACAGGGTTGGAAAGCAAGTGCATACAACCCAGCAGCTGCCAAGGCATGAGGTGTGGGCGGGGGCGCTGGGGGTGGCCTCCCGCAGCCGCCGCTGGAGTGGGAGCAAACCTCAGGTCGCCATGCGATGGGATGAGGAGCCCAGTAGAAGCTGGTCAGCACGGATCTGACTGGACCGACAGCAGCCAGGGAGCAGAAGGCTGTAGGGAGGTCAGAGGGGCCGTTGGAGATAGGCGCGGGGAAGTGAGCCACAGAGCCCTGGGAGGTGACAGGGACGTGGTCCCCTGTGGGAGCTGTGCCCACTCATCCAGGACTGAGGGCATTGAAAGTGATGTGGGTTCTACAGAGGGTGGTTCTCCCGTGGGAGCACGCACGGAGCCCCAGATTGCTGGCTGGCACAGGTTCCTGCCCGTGCCCAGGTCCCCCTCAGTAGGTTGGGGCATCCAATGGATCTGCATTCCTGGACCATACGTAGAGAGCCCTGTCATGGATGACACAGAGACGCTCCATTTCCTCATGGGAAGTGATCAGGTGTGAGCTCAGCCAGATGATGGATGGGGTCCTGGCTCTTGTCATTGTCCTCTTAAGTGTTTCCACAAACAGCATGTTTACATGTAAGTTGGTAAGCTACTTACTCACCACGCTTTTCTAAGTGTGGCTGCTCCTCAGAATCCATGCAGTCGTGCCCGCACAGCTGACCCTTTTGAGGCAACTGAATAGTGCCATCTGGTGATAGCAACAGTGTCACTAGACTGTCATTTCAACCACAGCCTGACACCCCCTGAGGAGCTGCTGTGGCTTCGCAGGGCTCCCTTCTCAGGTGTGTTTGCTGAGGGGACACCGGTTCTTCCCGTTTCGCTTGCCATTCTGTGCGCAGCATTGGGGACAGAGCGGCTGAGCCCCGGGTGTGGTAAAGGCCACAGGTCCACAGGGCCCAGGGCCAAGGGGAACTGGGGCCAGAGAGACAACGTGGAGAACATCACCTGAGGATAAGCTGTGGTGCTGGCCCCACGGCCACGCGTCCTCAGCCTGAAGACCCCGGAGCTCTGGCCTCTGCACATCCTACAGGACCTGTTTGTCCTTATGTCTGGCGGGGGCAGTGTTGCAACTAAAGCACCCTCTGAGAGTGGGAACTGAGGTGAGCCTGGCTGAGGTGGCTCAGGGAGCAGCCACCGATGACAGTGTGGCCCGGCCACCGATGACAGTGTGGCCCGGCCACCGATGACACTGTGGCCCGGCCACCGATGACAGTGTGGCCCGGCCACCGATGACACTGGCCCGGCCACCGATGACACTGTGGCCCGGCCACCGATGACAGTGTGGCCCGGCCACCGATGACATGTGACCCGGTCACCGATGACAGTGTGGCCCGGCCACCGATGACAGTGTGGCCCGGCCACCGATGACATGTGACCCGGTCACCGATGACAGTGTGGCCCGGCCACCGATGACACTGGCCCGGCCACTGATGACACTCTGGCCTGGCCACTGATGACATGTGACCCGGCCACCGATGACAGTGTGGCCCGGCCACCGATGACACTGGCCCGGCCACTGATGACACTCTGGCCTGGCCACTGATGACATGTGACCCGGCCACCGATGACAGTGTGGCCCGGCCACCGATGACACTGGCCCGGCCACTGATGACACTCTGGCCTGGCCACCGATGACATGTGACCCGGCCACCGATGACATGTGGCCGGCCACCGATGACAGAGTGGTTTGGCCACCACCCCGGCAGGCAGAGCCCAGATCCGTGTGTGACTGGTTTCGTGTGGATTAGCTGTGCCCAGCCTTTCCTTGTTCCTCCTTGTTGTTAAGCTCTGATGATCTTCACATAAAGGAGAGATTATTTCAAAGACACGGAGCAGCAACAACAAAATCACGAAATAAAACCACAAGCACACTGCACAGTCAGAGCCAGCCTCCCACCGCCATGCCCCGCCTGTTTGGGGCTCACACAGGGACTGGGTGAGGGCTGTTATCACCCAGACTCACCCTCTGGGTGGAGGCGAGGCCTGGGCCTGCAGGGAGCCTCCTGGGGGCCCTCCTCACGCTGCCTGGGGCAGGAGTCTGGCCTTTTTGGAGGTTTCGGCTGTCCCTGTAGGTCTCTGAGGACCAGAAAGGCGATGACTACAGTCCCTCTCAGTCGAGCCCCTGGTCCTTGTTGAATTCCATCAGTTTGGCACGTCTCAGAAGACGGCTTTCCCTCAGGTCAGCTATCTTACCACCGGGCGGCTAAGCCTGTTTGTCTTGGAAGCTGTTAGTGAATGGCGGGAAGCAACTTTTAAAAAAACAGCCGCCCGCGCCCTAGAAAGGCCCTTCTGAGCCTCGTGGCCACGCTGCGCAGCCACTCACAGGCTCCAAGTGCTGCGTGCTGGTTCGCAGGAGGCAGCGCGTGTCTCAGAGGGTAAGCCATTCTGTTTCCTTCGCAGATTCCCGACCGTGGCAGTCAGCATCGGATTTGCCGTGAACCAAGAGGTGCGTGAACCCCGAAGGCCCGGCCCCTGCCCCTGGGGCCCCAGGGTTCCAGCTCTTCCTTTTCGGTCTCCACCTCCGCACTCCTGTTTCCCTCTCTTCGTCCTGCGCCTTGGCCACGGCTAGTCAATCCGAGCCCAAGCGTGCCTTTTTCCGATCTGAGAAAACCAGCGAACGCAGACCCGTCTGAGGTGTGCAGGCGGCTTGGGCTCTGTTGCTGTGGTCTTCTTTCCGATGTGACCTCAGAGGGGGAAGCGCTGAGCAAATGGTCCAAGCTGGTCTCCCGGTGACCCCTGGGGCGTGTGACTTAGACACACACACACAAAGAACTCCTATTTTGGGAGGACATTTCCAATCCCAATATTCCATTAATTCTTCTTTATCTTCCTGTAGCTGTCAGTGTGAGAACGTGGCTGCTTCAGGGTTCCCAGAGACCCTGGGGGGACCAGTAGCATCAGAGGCGTGGGATCAAGGCTTTCGACTGTATCAATGAGTTTGAGCAATGACACTCCGAAAAGCCTTACCTTCTTTGTAGTCCCTACAGCCAGATTTAAATAAGACCAGGGCTCGGTGTTTTTCAAAAGCAGCCCTTCTTGAGAACACCATTTTTTTAATTTGTTTTTTTCATCTTAATCCTTCACGTTAGCATGGCTTCCCTAGCGTGGAAACGTGGAGAACGTGACACCGTGTAAAAGTTCTTAAGTTGGAGCTAAGCAGGATTTTCAATATTGACATTTGGGTAAGGAGTTAATTACTCACTTGTCTCTGTTGTTGAATGCGGCCACTGAACCGAGTAGGGTGGTGCTCATGGCCGCGGTCCATGCCTGAGGGAGGGCAAGGTGCTTCGTGCTGGCAAGGTTGCCCCTGGCGAGGCCCGCACCTCGTGATGGGTCTGGCGTGTGTGACTGCACACAGGTGGTCTAGGCTTGTAGTGGAGGGCCCTGGACAAGGGAAGCGTCCCCCACTTCCTCCCCGTTCCCTGTTTGCCCCAGGGGTGCAGGGCCCCCGCCCCAGGTTCCCCAAGACCAGCCCAGTTCTAGGATTGACTTGAATTTGGGGACCCCTTTAGAGGCAGGGTGGTAGAGCGGGGCGCATGGTGAGGATTGCTGGAAGGCTGGGGCCCTCGGTAAGCGCTGGCTGATGCATCCTCCCAGCAACAAACCCGGTCCCCGCAGGTCAGGGAGCCCCTTGCACTACGGTCCCGCTCAGCCTGGCCGGCCAGACGGTCCGGGGCCTGTGGCCTGCGTCTCTCTTCTCTCTTCACTTGCGATGTCAACCCTGCCTGGTGAGGAGTCGGGAGAGGACAGGCACAGAGCACCAGTGTCAGGAAGCATCTGCTCCTGCCTCTTCCTTTTCCCACCCCCGACTGGGAGGCCGTGCCGTGTGGATGCTCACCGAGGGGTGGCAGTGCGGCCACTGGCTGGCGCTCGCCGCTCAGGGACGAGCCCTCGGTGAGGCCCGCCTGTCTTCCTGGGGCCGCCTTGGGTTCCATGATGCTGTTGGCATCACACATGCATTCTTCAGTTCTCATTCTTCACACATCAGCAGTTTTGAGGGTTACTTGTGGTTTGATTAGAGACACAAGTAACTTCCCACCATCCCCCGGGGGAGAAAAAAGCCTTTCTAAAGAATTCAGCTTTTTCAATAACTTTCCGGTACTAATGCTTCACTATGGTGTTAAGGTTTAGTATACCGTAGTTTTTTAAATTTCAGTTTATTTACTTATCTTAGAGAGGAAGAAAGGGGGAGAAAGAGATAGAGATACCAATGAGGAGAGAGAATCATTGACTGGCTGCCTCCTGCATGTCCCTCACTAGGGATCAAGCCCACAACCTGGGCATGTGCCCTTGACCAGAATGGAGCCTGGGACCCTTCAGTCCGCAGGCAAACACTTTATCCCCTGAGCCAAACCGGCGAGGGCAGCACATTTTTAAATGTGGTAACTTTTAAAAAGAAAGCTTGCTTCCGTGCAGGTCTAGTTTGATTCTAGGTGCTGCGTTTCAGTTCCCTTTTGGGAAGGGGTGTCTCGCACATCGTCTGGCATCCGTCAGAACACGGAGCAGGCCCTTGCCTCCGAGTTGCTGGCCGTCTCCAGTCTGCACTGAGTGAACTTGTTCTCTGTCCCGCCCTGCCCGCAGCTTGAGTTCGGCGTGATTTACCACTGCACCGAGGAGCGGCTGTACACGGGCCGGCGGGGCCGCGGCGCCTTCTGCAACGGCCAGCGGCTGCAGGTCTCCGCGGAGACAGGTGGGCCTCGCGCCGGGTCTCAGGTCGCCTCGGGCTGAGACGTCCGTGGACAATGCCCAGGACGGCGGCGGACGATTCCTGCCGAGAGAGAGTTCCAGCTCTTTCTTCTTCGGGACACCGTGTCCCTGATGAGCTGGAAGCTGAGCCAGTTCTCTATCATAATGTTTTTGTAAACGTGGCCAGGAGCTTTAAATAGTCTCCTTCTATTTTGTCCTCGCATCTTTCCTCTTGAATGCTTAGAGACACCGTCATTCGTTACGAGTGGGTTTCCAGCAGCCCAATGCCAGGGGCAGAGCCGGAAGCCCGCTCAGGTGCAGGTCAGCCGTCATGATGGCCCTGCGGTGGCTGAGCGGAGCCGGCTTCACTTTCCGAGGGAGGTCGTGTCCCTCAGTGACGTTTCACTCACCACAGATGTCCCACGGTCGTTGTTCCTCCTCAAGCAGGACTGCGGGGACTGCGTTATACTTAATCTGCATGTTGCCACGGATCAGGCACAAAATGCTGCTTTATTTGTCTTGTTTTGTTTTGTTTTTTAATATATTTTATTAATTTTTACAGAGAGGAAGGGAGAGAGACAGAGAGCTAGAAACGTCAATGAGAGAGAAACATCGACCAGCCGCCTCTTGCACCCCCCCCCCCCACTGGGGATGTGCCCGCAACCAACGCACATGCCCCTCACCGGAATCGAACCCGGGACCTTTCAGTCCGCAGACCGATGCTCTACCACTGAGCCAAACCGGTTTCGGCTATTTGTTTATTTTTTAACATTTCAGAGAGGAAGAGAGAAGGATAGAGAGATAAAAACATCAGTGATGAGAATCATTGATTAGCTGCCTCCCGCACGCCCCCTACTGGGGATCGAGCCCACAACCCGAGCATGTGCCCTTGGCCGGAATCGAACCCAGGACCCTTCAGTCCACAGGCCTACGCTCTTATCCATTCCAAACCAGTTAGGGCACAATATGCTGCTTTAGATGCTTTGCTGCCTCTTTTTGGCCTTTCTCTCTGATTAAACTGGTGATACTTCAGCAGTTTTGTAGAACGGATACTTTCGGGGAGAAAATTGCAAGACAAGGAAAGAGCTGAGCCCGAGGCTAGGAGCAGGTGGATTAGGACCAGACTCTAAAGGGTCCATGATGTAGAGAGCACCGTCCCTGCTGACCTCTCATTCATGTGTCCCACTCCCCACCTCTGTTATTCCACTTGCCTGTCACGGCTTCAGTCTGTGGCTCCCTCTGAGCTCCCTCTGCTTCCTTTCTGCCTCCCTTCTCCACCCTTTTCCAGCTTCTCTTAAAAATCTCTTTCCTGTGCCCTTCCTCCACTGTCTCTATTTCTGCCTTTTCTTCCTCCTTGGATGCCACCTGTGTGCCCCGAGGGCCTGAGGCGCTGAGAGGACCAGAGGGGCCCTGCCTCCTCCAGTCAGGACAGGAGGCACAGCCATGTGGTGGGTGAGAGCAGCGCCCTGCCTTGTTAATCTCTTGCATTTGGGTCTCTACAGCCAAAGATGTTGACCCAGGTGCCAGGAGGTGTTTGCTTCGGTGCCATGGCCCCATGAGCAGCTGGTCTGTTAGGAAGGCGACCTGTCATTGTGTGAAGGACAGGCTGGGGCAGGACTGCCTCGGGGAGTCTGAGGAGGCTCCTGGCGGGGTAAGGGGCGCAGACAGAGGCTGGAGCAGCAGGACACACTAACCAGTTACCGCAGACCGCCAGCCCCGCCCCTGTCTCCCTCTCCCAGAATGTTTTGTTTGGCTGAGTAAAAAGTGGCGTTAATTACAGCCACACATGCCAAGAGGCAACCACTCAGGCTGAATTGTGTAACTCGGTAGTGAGAAAGCATGTTATTAAACACGCTTCTGTGACCTTTGCTCTACATTTTATTTGATTATCTAACACTCAGCTCCATTCACACTCCCTCGGGCCTCCTGGTCGGCTGCCTACATCGCTCAGGAGTGCAGCGTCCTCAGTGGGGCTCTCAGACACGGCCCAGCACTGCTCAGCCCTCCCATGGGCGGGGCCTTAGGGTCACCACTGTACTTGGCCCATCACAGGCCCTTCTGTCCCAGGCTGCCCATCACTCACTGTCATTAGCCCTCCTTGGCTGCACACATGTTCCAAAGCTCTTTTGTTATTTTTTTTCCCCCAAAAAAAATCTGATTTATAAAGTCTAGTTTCAACTTGGTCATTTCCTGTTTGATGGACGACGAGGTTCCTATGGGAGGGGATGGGTGTACGTTTTAGCAGCACTGTCTTTAGGTGATATGCAGGCCTGGTTTCAAATCCTGAATCTGCCGCCTTCTAATGCTGTGACCTGAAACCTTGTCTTCATGTGTAAAGTGGGGTGATGTAGATGAAACTTGGAAGGTTAAATAAAATTATATATAGAAAGCACTCAGCAAAGCCCCTGGCACATAGCACCCAAAAACGAGAGTCATTATCAAAGGAGAAACTTGAGTCTTCACGCGCGATCCATTACAGCCCATTGCTGAAATTAAGATGAGTTTCTGAAAGAAAAAGCCATTAAAATAACCACCGCTTAACTTTCCCCCTGTGCTTTCTTTGCCTTCTCTTTTTCAATTCCCATTTAACCTTTCTGGAATGTCTTCAATTCACAAAAACAAAAAAGCTACGCTGGTTAGGGGTAAAGGATTAGAGGCCAGGATTTTATCAGTAGCGTTTTTTCTTCTAATTGTACCAGGCCAAATTTCAAACGTGTGCAAAGCAGTCAGAAAAAGTGCAATGAACCCACCTGACCCACCACACAACTCCAGTATTGCCAACTCATGGCCAATTCTGCTCGATACACACCCCCACCCAACTCCCAGCACCCCAACAACTCCCTGATTCAAATCCCAGACATGACAGCATTTTCTAGCCAGTATTTCAGTATGGCTCTCTAAAACATACAGACAGTTCTTTGAAAAACATAATCACAATACCAATCTCACCCCCTCCTAAAATCATTAGTAGGCATGAACACAGTCAGGGTTCAAATTTCCACTTTTTTCATCCATGGAAAGGGCCTTTCGGAGCCACAATCTGGAGTCTAGAGGTCATTGTAGATCCTGGATCTGTCTTTTCAGTGGACAGAGCTAGGAATGAATTGTTTTGTAACATGAAATTCATCCTGAGTCCATACTGATGGGCCCCATTCAAATTCATGCTGGGTTCTCTACTTAATTCTTCTATGTATGTCTACTCAGCCCCATGCTGAAAACCCTAGTGCATAGTGATACCAGGGATTTAATAATATCATGCAATCCCTGCTCATTTTATCCCACAACACACACATGACAGTTTCAGAAAAATAATACTAGCTCTTCTATTACCAAATGATTTATCTTTTCATCTGAAATGTTTTCTGTTTCTTTCCTAAGTTATATCCCTCTCTACTTTTGAGTTATGCTGTTCTTTCATATATTCTTTATTTCTTTTTAAAATTTTTATTTTTCAATTACAGTGATAATATTAATTTTTTTTTTTTTTTTTTTGCATAAAGCTATTTCTGTGTGTGGGCAAATCTTTCTGGCATCCTTTGATTGGAGAGATATCTTTCTGCCCTCATTCTTTTTCCTTATGAAAATGACAGTTGTGTGTGATATTCAACCAGGATTTGTTTACTTTTTACTTTGTGCTACTGGAAATCTGTATTCCCGAACTCGGAGAGAGGGAGGGTGTCAAGATAGTTTTGTATTTTCACAGCTCTAGAGCTCCCTCTTCTGTTTTTGTGATCTGTTAAAAAAAAAAAAAAAACAACAACAACAACAAAAAAACATTGGCCTCATTCTTAGATTTATTTTCCTTTTCCTTACCTAAGTCCAAATAAAACAGTAGAGAGCATTTTGCCTGTAGGTGGCAGCACTCAGACTTCCTTTTTACTCTTCGTGATTTCATTTGGGAAAACATATATTAGCACGAGTGAGAAAGAATAGATACATTGCAGCTGGAAGAGGATACAGAAATATATTTTTATAAATTTAAAACTATGGAAAGAAACCCCTTCTTTTGCCAGCACCAGTTTGGCTCAATGGATAGAGCGTCGGCTTGGGGACTGAAGGGTCCCGGGTTCGATTCCGGTCAAGGGCATGTACCTTGGTTGCAGGCATATCCCCAGTAGGGGGTGTGCAAGAAGCAGCTGATCGATGACTCTCTCATCGATGTTTCTAACTATCTCTCTCCCTTCCTCTCTGTATAAAATCAATAAAATATATTTTTTAAAAGAAAGAAAGAAAGAAAGAAAGAAAGAAAGAAAGAAAGAAAGAAAGAAAGAAAGAAAGAAAGAAAGAAAGAAAGAAAGAAAGAAACCCCTTCTTTCATATATCACCAGGCAGTTTAAGTTTAAGTCTGGGCTTTACCACTGAAGGGCTACCTGACCTCATGCAGGTCCCCTCCCAAAGCTTGGCCTCCCAGCCTTGAAACAAGAACAGTGAGATAGCGAATGCGATGGAGGACTGAGCACGTACGTGGATGTGACTGGAAGAGAGTAAGATGTGAGTGATTGCTGTTTCCACACTGTGTGTGATTTCCCTTGTGAAATAGCCCAATGGCACTTAGTTTGAAAATCCCTGTTCTTCCTCGGCAGCCTTGCATGCGAGTGTATCTGCATGTCTAGGCTGACACTCGAGGACCCTCCTCTCCATTCACCCTACAGCCAGGCCCTCCTTCTGATAAGACATATTGGGCGAGGCTGTGGCCTGCAGGAGTAGTCACATCTTAGGAACCTGAGTAAAAGCGGATACTTATCTCCCTATGGAAGTTGATTACCTGGCTTTCTAGATCCTGGGGGGAAATCTTCACGGTTTTTCTTAATTATCAAAATCTAAAACATGCACACTCTTTCACTCAGAAATACCACTTGGGTTTTTTTCCTCCCCAGAAATTCCACTTCTATTAACCTATCTTTTTAAAAAGCCCCATTGGTGTGGCTCAGTGGTTGAGAGTCAACCTATGAACCAGGAGGCCATGGTTCAATTTCTGGTCAGGGCACAGGCCCAGTTGTAGGCTCAATCCCCAGTAGAGGACATGCAGGAGGAAGCCAATTGATGATACTCTCATCATTGATGTATCTGTCTCTATCTCCCTCTCCCTTTCTCCTCTGAAATCAATATTTTTTTTTTAAAAGTTTAAAGAGCCGAAGCCGGTTTGGCTCAGTGGATAGAGCGTCAGTCTGCGGACTGAAAGGTCCCAGGTTCGATTCCGGTCAAGGGCATGTACATTGGTTGCGGACACAACCCTGGTAGGGAGTGTGCAAGAGGCAGCTGGTCGATGTTTCTCATCGACGTTTCTAGCTCTCTCTCTCTCCCTTACTCTCTGTAAAAAATCAATAAAATATATATTTTTTTAAAAGGTTTAAAGATATTTAATTGATGAAGCTTCCCCCCCCCCTTCAAACATTGGGTGGTCCCAGTTTGGAGTCATTTTGTTTTATTTATGATTGAATGATGATGATTCTCCTAAGACACCAAACTCTTCAAGTTTTCACACTAACCATTTTTGAAAAGAGAGAACTAAAAAATCTCCTTCTGAAATCTGATTCAGAAAGCAGCTTTAAAGGAATGATGATGAAATAGGGTGTCAATTTTATCTCTTTACTATGTCCTTATTTTTCAACATAGCTATTAGAAAAATTTTATAGCATAAAACAATCAAAAGAGACTTATTCTAGAAGGAATAGGGGTCTGATATTTGAATTTCACTTCAGGAAAAACCCCAACTATTCAGTTAGGACCGAGGCTTGGTTTTTCTGGTGACGGGACATTCTTTCTGTTGCAGATCTCTCCCGGGCCTTGGTGCTAACAGAAATCGGTCCCAAGCGTGACCCCGCTACTCTGAAACTGTTCCTGAGCAACATGGAGCGGTTACTCCACGCCAAGGCTCATGGGTATGACCTCAGATCCCGCAACACCTGGGGCCAAGTGGACGGTGCCAAGCTCACGGTCTTGCTGCAGACTCCCCGGGGACTGAGAGGAAAAACGATCCCGTGACGGGAACACACACGGACGGCGGTGCCGAGGCCCCGGGCGCCGCTGGTGCTGCCCCGTCCGGTGTGAGGGCTCCCGCAGCAGCTGTCAGGGGACGTTCGTTCCTTTCTGAGCAACTTGGAGAAGCCCGGGAACTGATCTCAGACACAGCCACCCAGCCCGCCAGTCCTGTGTGTGCTCAGACCCCTGCCTAATTGATGTTCCTCCAGCAAACACTTGGGAAAACAAATCCAAGTCCTCCCATCCTCCATCTGGGTCTGGACGGTAGCTATGGCCACATGAGGTGCTTTAAACGTGTACAGAGTTAACAGTTGAGCTGTTTGGTTGTTCCGGCCACATTTCCAGTGCGCGACAGCCACGGGCGGCTCAAGCTACCAGATGCAGAAGGTTTCGGTCGCCGCAGAAAGCTCTGCTGGACAGCCCTGCACTGCACTCTAGACTTTGAACCTAGAGCTTCTGGGAGAAGCCCTGTGGCTCCTTCTTTTTTCTTTTTCTTTTTTTTTTCTTTTTCTTTTTAAAATGTCTTTCTTAAAAAATATATTTTATTGATTTTTTACAGAGAGGAAGAGAGAGAGATCGTGAGTTAGAAACATCTGTGAGAGAAAAACATCAATCAGCTGCCTCTTGCACACCCCCTTCTGGGGATGTGCCTGCAACCAAGGTACATGCCCTTGACCGGAATCGAACCTGGGACCCTTCAGTCCACAGGCAGACGCTCTATCCACTGAGCCAAACTGGTTTCGGCTGTGGCTCCTTACTGCCTGGGAATGCTCACAGCGGGAGTGACTGGATGAAGTGGGCATGAACACCATTAAGAGCAGTCTGATATGTGCCCGGTGCCCTCACACGTGAATGACTGCTCTTCTTCCCTCCCTCCTTCCTCCCCCCAGGGTCCGAGTGATCGGGAGCTCCACCCTGGCGCTCTGCCTCCTGGCCTCGGGGGCTGCGGACGCCTATTACCAGTTTGGCCTGCACTGCTGGGACCTGGCCGCCGCCACCGTCATCATCAGAGAAGCAGGAGGCATTGTGATGGACACGTCAGGTGGGCCCCCTGACCCTGGGCTGGCCTCAGGCCCCAGGGGCGTGACCGCGGAGGCCAGACTGGGTGACCCCTCCAGACAAGGGTCCCTCACTTCCTCGGAGTCTATGCTGATGAGCGGGCATTGGGAAAGCGGGTCCCGCCCTCCCTGCTTCCCACTCTGTGCCAGGAGGCGTGAAAATAGGCAGAGCTGAGGTTCAGACTATGGCCCGTAGGAGCAACACACCATTTGACAGTCTCCTAAGCACACAATCTGCTGAGACTGGCAGAGCAGGCATCCCGCACCCCAGCTGGCCATGAGGAGGCTGGTCCCTGGGGCCTGTGGCTCAGCAGCGTGCTGCACAGGTGCCTGTGAGGTTTTAGAATGGATCCCAAAGGTGCCTGTTCCTTCCACTTCAAGGCTATCACATTCCAGGACTCACACACACACACACACACACACACACACACACACACACACACCGGGCACATCTGACTCCACTTAGCCTCCCTGCCCCTGTTACATGCATGAGCTTCAGGCAGACCACTCGTCTGACATTTAGGGGTAACCAGTCAGGGGCTGGGTGAGTCCTACTGGATCCCATTCTCTCCCAGCTTTTTAGTCCCGAGCTTGTTGGCACAAACACTGGGGCTCCCTTTTAACAAGTGGTTATGGACAAGCGTCTTTTGTCACTTAATTTATACTTCTTTCTTCTTTCCCCTTTAAAGGCTTTAATTGAGCTACCAGAAAAGTATAAAAAGTGAAGAGATATCAGGCTTAGATGGCAAGGCCAGGCAGACCAGTTTCAGATTAAATAAGAGTCCGACACTGGATTTAACCACGTGAGCACACGTGTGTGCACAGAGGGCTTCAGCAAGGCCACTAAGTCCTGTTCATGCCCCTCAGAAGGACACAGGGCTTCCCCATCCTCCCCCAGCTGCCTGGTCCCCACAGCAGCCACGTCGGGTTGCCAGTCAGAAAGACCAACTCTGGGCCCCGAGTGCCTCCCGTGCAGCATGGAGACGGAGGGCTGCTCTCTCCTGTCCTGGTCTCACCCATCATTGGACTCCTGGGCCTCCATGTTGGGCCTCCTACTGCATTCTCCCAGCACAGCCTCCAGACCGGCATTGGTCTGTGGCCTCTCCACCGCACTCACTGGGGTGGTGCTGATGCTGAGAGGCGAACCCCTCTCTCTGACTAGATCAGCTGTTGGGTCCAGCCTTGAGCCCAACCTGGGAGCTTTGTTTTTCTCGGAATGTGATGTTGTTATCCAGGACTGTTCTGCCCTCTCCGTAACCCACGTGGTCTCTCTCTGTCCTCAGGTGGACCTCTCGACCTCATGTCCTGCAGGGTGGTTGCTGCGGGCACCCGAGAAATGGCTATGCTCATCGCTCAGGCCTTACAGACCATTAACTATGGACGGGACGATGAGAAGTGACAGGGAGCAGAGACGGGAAACGTGACCCCAGGACTGGCTCTTCCTGGGATGCTGCCGCCGGCAGCCAGTCCCCAGGGGGCACTGCATTGAGCAGCCCGCACTCCATCCAGTTCCTGCGTTCCTAACCGCCCAAAGAGCAGGGTTCTGCTACCGTGTGTGGCTCTCTGGTTAAATCCACGTCTTTCACTGGGACTTCGTGTTTAGCTGGTTTCTTTCTTTAATCTCATGCAGCCTTTTTTCAGGTTAGTTCAGGTTCTTCTGTCAGGGCCAAAACCCAAATCTCATGACATACATATTGATAATTCAGTCTTGATTTCTTTACCCCCACCTCTCCCTCCCCCCCTCCCCCAGAATGCAAATCTCAGGTAATATGGCTTTAGAACTGCTGATAAAGCGGACTTGTTCTCAGGCCCCCCACCCCATGGTACTTCAGAATGCAATAAATCAAAATAATGGCACTCTACTCTCTGCTTCCCTCCATCAGTGTCACCTATTCCCCAATCAACACACAAAATCCACAGCTGCAGATGCATTTAAGAATCTACTGATGACTATAATATTAAGAGAAAAATCCCATGAGTCGGAAGTATTCTCCTTAGCCAGAGTCCCCATGAATGAACCGAATGAGGTATCAACCTGTTTTAGCCAAGTAGCTTGCTTATTAATATCTTACTGAGTTTCTGCAGCACCAGGGATGTTGATCCAGGTTGACTCCTTGTTCAGCCAACAAGTAATCTAGTGCCGTTCTATTACCTAAAGCCACATCACAGGAGAGAGAGCCTGGGGGCTTCTGTCATCAGCTATGGCTTTGACAGTGAACTCAGAAGTTGTTGCCAGAGTTGATAAATTTCTGATCACATACGCGTTTGGACTACCTCCAAGCCAAGGAAGAAGGGACCGTCCAAATGTCACCCATCTGCTGGTAAACTTTTATGTCTGCTGGTCGTGTACATTCAGGGAGTGGACCGCTGTGGAGCCTGAGGGATTGTGAAGGGACAGCGGAATAGTAAATACAGCGGGAGCACATTGTTCTGTCATCCTCTGCTGTCAAGACAATGAGTTGCCCAAGCATAGAGGCCATTAACAAAACTCTACATGTGAAGGAGTAAGTAGCTCATAAGGCTCCCTCATGAACATTACCATTCATGAACCCATTGGTTGGTGCAGAGGTGTTAGCATCATTCAACTAACACCCAAATACCGTATTATTACATATTGAGAGACCACCTAAATATGTGGGGCTGACACCAAGCCTATACATGCTCTGCAGTGTCACATGTATTTACACTGGCTGCTCTGGATATATATGGATCTCGTTTTCCCACCCAGGGTTGGGTTAAATTAAGGCAAAGAAGGGAGGTATGTGGTTTTAGTGTTTTTACAAAAGGGGCTCATGAACAATTCAGGCATAGAGTGGCATTTAGGATCCCAATGAAATTACTTTTAGGATAAGTGAGAGGCCTCTTCTTTCGTGTGCTTTTTGGCTTAACATGATAAACCCTGAAGTTAACTAGTTAAGTTTCCTGCAATAGCTATTATTTGTGAGATCTTAATTTTAGTGTCGTCTTCCCATGTAATAATGGAAAGAAAAAGCAGATAGCAAACAGGCAGGAGGGAGAAAGGGTTCATATTGGAGAAGATGTTGGAAAAGCAATCTGCTTCAGGGAGGAACCCCACTGGTCAATTTTAACTTTAGATCTCGGGTTGGTGTGCAGTTCAAGAGTCTGGAGGAGCCTTTTTCAACTAATAGCTGTGGACTCAAGGTAAACAACCCCTGAAGTTTGGCTGCTCTCTGGGTAGTGAGGAGTACCTGGTCTTTGTTCCTTCCAACAAGATTTAAGGGCAGTCTTTCTTTTTTCTTTCTTTTTTTTAATATATTTTTATTGATTCAGAGAGGAAGGGAGAGAGAAACATCCATGATGAGAGAGAACCATGGATCAGCTGCCTCCTACATGCCCCACATTGGGGATCGAGCCCACATGTGCCCTGACTGGAATCGAACCTGCGACCTCCTGGTTCATAGGTCGACACTCAACCATTGAGCCATGCCGATGAGCAAGGTGCTGTTTCCAGAAGACCCAGTCTCCCGATTCTAAGATGTAGAAGGTTCAACCTTCTGTAGGAGGGTCCTGGAAAGCTTTCTTTACCTGATGGAAAGACACTTTGGCATAATGCATTAAAGCTTTAAATATCGAGTCATATCAGAATTCATGAGTACAGTAGGCACATATGGTTCTATCAAAGGTATCGTCTTCCTGCTGCTATTTCATAAGGTATTAATTTATACTTTTCCATAGGTGTTGATCTCATTGCCATCAAAAACTAGTGGTAGGAATTTTGGCCAGGGCAGCCCAGTTGATTCTGTTAATCTAGCTAGCTTTAGTTTTACGTTACCATTTGTCTGTTCAACATCACCAGATGACTGAGGACGGACTGTAAGGATGATGATAATGCCATTGTGTCAGCTGCGCCTTATTTAATTGTTTAGTTGTTTATCTGGTGAAATGAGTTCCCCTGTCACTGGAGATTTCTCTGGGGATATCCCATAAAGGAAATACTTTCTAAAAGTTTATCACCCATGGTTGTGGCATCAGCCTTTCTGCATGGGATGGCTTCAGTCCATCCTGAGAACATATTGATAACCCATTGCAGAGGCAATTAAATGAAACCCATTTTTAAGTGTTCAAATAGCCCGGTAGGTGGTGGGAATGCTTTCTAATACATTAATATATAAAGACTCATAGTCTTTCCACTATGAGTTTGACAAGTCAGATGTTGGTCATAAACCAATTTTGCAGCCTTAGAGCTGTCACTCTACCAATACTTTTCATAATTTGGGTCATGTTATCTGTGCCATGATGAGTTGCAGAATATAGAGCTTTTATTCATGGAATTTTGGGACTCGGCAAGAGCCAGGAGGCTACCTGGGCCCTTGGTGAGTCTTCATGTAATATTAAATTTGCACATTGTTGGAGCCACCATTGTTGTTTCAGCCCAAGTGCCTGATTTTATTTTTTATATAAATTATAAATAGTTTTGCTAGAATCAATCTTATGGAATTCATTCAAGTTCATATTGGGACCATCTTAGTGCTGGCTGATTTACCAGGGAAGTCTGCTAGAGCATTTCCTTGATACCCAGGTTCCATTAGCTCCCATTTTAATGATTACAGTTCACTTGGGTGACAAAATGTCAGAGGACAATTCCTTTACCTGAAATCCATTGAGGAACTCTTTCTGCTTCTATAACATATTAAAGGCATATGTGCTATTAGTATAATGTTTACTGACTTCCCTTGGGATCGCTGACAAGCCTGAGCAAGAGCATGTAGTTCTGGTTGAGTAAGCTTAAGTTGGGGAAAGATTGCCCTTTCTAATAGTTCATATGAAGTTGTCACAGCATATCCTGCTTGATATTTCCCTTCTACATTCTTGCACAGGACCCATCAACAAAGCATATCAGATCTGGGTGTTCTAAAGGAGTAAGTCAGTGCGAGGCATCAACCACCGTGACTCCACACCTGTACAGTGATGAGGATCTATGGCAAGGGTAGTACGGTCACAGGGCTGAGCAAGTTGCAGTACTTGGGGAGGTTAAAGATGAAAGAAGAAGGATCTCAGAAGACATTCGTTTACCTGCTGAAACGTGAAGTCTGATCGGAGTTTAATAGACTCTCAACAGCACAAGGTACTTGTAAGTACACGTCATAGTCAATACCCACCTAACTGCCCACCAACTGCTGCAGAAGGAAGAGCACTGGCTTCCAGGCCAACACACCCAATTCGAAGGATTGCAATGCCAGCCTTTTCCTGCCGGGCCTCAGATGCCACCTGGAAACAGGGTGCTGCCTCCCAAGGTCATTGAGGGGACTCGCTTTTTGCGAGAGCCAACTGCCTGTGATGCCCGGTGTGCACCAGCTCACCCCCAGCATCCAGAACTGTATCAGAGCGGCCCTCGGACGCTTTAAAGCAGGATAACGTTCAGGGCGTGCTCAGTTCGCTTTGTTAAATGAGTGCTCACCGGCTGCTTTAGGAATAGAGCCGATTGGACCAGCTAGAGATTAGACACGTTTTTACTGAATTCTGATTAGGCGGAAATCTGACATTAAAGGAATGTTTTGTTTCCCCATTAATCCCAGCAGAATGGTACCTGCTCCTCCGCAGTCTCTGTCCCTAGGCAGTGCTCTGGCCCTGGCAGCCCCACATCGAGAGCTCTGACTGGGACAGCGTTCTGCCTAAAAGAATAATCAGCTGAAACTGTTTTGGGCTCAGTGGATAGAGCATCGGCCTGCAGACTGAAAGGTCCCAGGTTTGATTCCAGTCAAGGGCATGTGCCTTGGTTGTGGGCACATCCCCAGTAGGGAGGTATGCAAGAGGCAGCTGATCAATGTTTCTCTCATCGATGTTTCTAACTCTCTATCCCTCTCTCTTCCTCTCTGTAAAATAATCAATAAAATATATTTAAAAGAAGAAGAAGAAGAAGAAGAAGAAGAAGAAGAAGAAGAAGAAGAAGAAGGAGAATAATCAGCAATCTGGTGACACCTGAACATAAATTCTTATATCTCACTTAAGAAGTGCATGCAGTGCCAGGCCAGTGTGGCTCAGTGTTGAGCATCAACCTATGAACCAGGAGTACAGTTTGATCCCACACACTAGGGGGGGGGGGGGGTGCAGGAGGCAGCCAATCAATGGTTTCCTCTCATCATTGATGTTTCTTTCTCACTGAAATCAAGGAAAATATATTTAAAAATCCATACCATTTATTTTAAAAAAGTCATTAAATAAAGTATATACAGACAAAGCAAGAAGAGGACAAATCGAGCTATTTCCAGTGATGAAAGAAGGCCCCGTGTCCTCAGAGATGACTTGCCCTTGGAAATAGTCAGTAGCTTGGAAAGACAATGAGGACAGAGTGCTGGGGAGGGAGGGGGATTTCTCCCAGGTTCCGGGTCAGACACTGGGCAAAGCTCTATTTCTTCAAAGACAAAACTGTTACAAAAT